TTTGGTTTGGAGAAAATATTTAGATATTCATTTATGTATGTTGGTGCCAACAGTCACGTTCGATGTGGCCATAGTTTATAACCACAAAAATCCCAGAAGACAGAGCAGAACCCGTTCAACCCACAATGTGAGCTTTTGGGAGCTTTCCCAGCCGCACAGGGATCTCTTTCCACTTAATATATGGTGTGAGATAAACTCTCAACACTGTATGAAATATTTCTCGCACTCACCATCATCCCTTTCCCAGCCGGGCGAGTTGAAATCCACTCAAGATGACACACACATTTCCCATATGAGCCGCATGATGTGTTTGTGTGCGTATGTACATATGTGGAATTTCCTTTAAAACCAAAGGCAAGAGGAAAATGTATCAGCCATTGATATATTGCTATATTGGCAAGTTTTCAATGTGGCCCATAGTCGAGAGCGAATGAGATGTGAAATTTGATTTTCCCTTCTGATGCGCTCAATAAAAAATTCAATTAATTTTACATCAAAAAGTCATTTAATAATTTTCTCACATTTTTCATTTCATCCCCCTTTGATCATCCCCATTAGCCATGGTATTATTAATTGAGCTAAATTGAAAATAAATTACATATGGAATTAGTTTTTGGGAGCATAGATAGTCAGTGGCGTGTGTGTGTGTGTTTTCATATTTTCGGGAAATAACTTCTGCTGCGACTATTAAAATGATATTGGTGATTAATGAGGTGAAAGATGGTGTGGCTTTGCTCTATTGATGATTTAATTATCGACTTGTGAATATTATGCATGCATTATTTGTGCACAGCGTCCGCACATAAAGTATGTTCCGCGCAGTTTTCGCTGTGGCATCGGCGGGTGGATGAGATTTGAAAATTGTCACAAAATGTATCCAAGCAAAAGCTGTCATGAGCACGATGGGGATGCCTGGTGATATTGCAACAGATGGATACCGACACCACAAATTTCTCTCTCTTCCTCTCATTCTCACTGGGATTTGTGTGAAATTTAATTTTGAAATTGAAGCATGAATACACGGAAATGTGCTCCAATGCTTTTAATGCATTTTCAAATAGTGCTTTAGATGAAGGTGAGAGAAGACGTCCAATGTCAAATGGCAGTAATATAGAAATTATTTTCGCTTTTACCGCACCATTGAATTTTTCCAACACACTTTGTCACTTTTTCGGCACTCGCGAGGAAATAATTTCAATTTTTTTGCCTGACGAGAGCGCGCCAGACAAAAAAAAAGGACAAAATGTACTATCGTGTGTGTATATGTATGTACATAACATAGTGCTTCCCAACTGGGGATACTATCAATTTATCCTCTCCATTGTCTCACCCCTGGTGAGTCCCACTGATTGAGATTGCTGCACAATTGGTAATTTAGCAAAGTGCTTTTTTACAGCCTCCCATTTCATTGTCTAGCTAGAGCATTTCTGTTCTAGTTAGAGCAGAGCACGATGATAAAATTACCCACAAAACCCGAACGGCTGAGTATATGACAGAGTTTCGAAATTTAATGGAATTTATTGAAAATGTCGTAATATTTTAATTACACTCTCACTCGGTCATTTGCCAGAAAAATGTCCATAAGAAGGAATGGGGCGAATATCATCAGTTGAATGAGCAACAATTACCAAGAAAAATTAAGGGTGAGGCGAGAGAGAGGCACAAAGTTACTTAGTGGGGCATTTTTCCAACTTATACGACAGATACGGATCATTAATTTCTTTATTGGAGGGGAAAAGCAATTTCCGAAGAGCAATAAACTTCGATGGTCGTAAAATGTGCGACGTGTCAGAGACAATTGTTTCACTTGCTTTCATTAAATTTCTCTCCTCTCCACCCTCACTTCAATATTTCTTTCCACCGTCCCAGAGCGCCAAAAATTCTCCCTGGATGTTTTCGGGAAAATTATCTCAAGTGTTAGTTTCATTTTTTCCTCCCAACAAGATGTCCTGTTACAAACACTCCTTGTCTGCTGTAAAGTTGCTCAAGGGAGACACACAGAGGAGCTTTAGAATACTTTCAGACTTCTTCTTTTTTTTTTTGTTTCACATGATGTGTAATGAAAATTGAATTATTCCATACAATTCACTCAAGTAATCCATCAAGATTGAAAACTAAACTGCTGAATAAGGGATTTCAATGGAAAGTTCGAACTTTCTCAAGGAGAGTCTTAAGATAAAATTGTATAGCGTAAAATATTCTATGATGATGAGAGAAATTCACAAGTGGAGTTTAGAAAATCTCTTATATAATTTATAGAAATATTACTTATGTACTTCTAGAAAATTCACAGGCAATAGAGAAATTGCCCTTGATTGATTTTCCATCATTAACTACGTCGCTTCAGGTGAATGTAATCTGATGGCATGTTCAGGAATTAGGGATGAAGTGAGTGGAAATTTTGCGAAAATCTGCACCACTACTAAAGTCGTTGTGGAAAAGTTTCACTTCCGAAAGGGACAGCATTTCACTGATAAGCTTTTTGTGGGTTGTCGGAAAACACTACGACTTTCCCTGCCCTCGTCCAGCCTCACAAGAGTGTCCCTCGGAGCCAAAAAAGTCCCATCTTGTCTCAGTGTCGATATCAAAGGTATATCCATATATATATATATATATGTATTTTCCACAACTTTGGCTTCGCTTAACTTGCTTATTTTATAGATGGCATTCTGCCTTCACCCGAATGAGATATTCCAGGAGGAAAAAGACTTTCGCTCATCGATAACTTTAGGATAAACTTTTGCTTCGCTTGAGTTGTAATTTCTATCCAATCTGTGGAGACGTGTGAAGGGTGAATCATTTGGGGAAATGTGTGGATGTTCTTCCTGTATGAAATTTAATAAACACCACAAGGACACATAATCAATTGGCAGGGAGCAATCATGATTTGAAGGATGTTTGGTGGGAATACTGCATCATTTGTCACATCTATGCGAGATATTGTAAGTCAGAAATATAGTTGCTGCAGTGTGATGCTCAGTGGAGACTAACACGTCATAAATTCAGTGGAAGACTCTTGGTTGGATCTGGCATGGGGTGAAGGGGGATGAAAGTAGCTTTGGAGAGCAACTGTCCAGATTTAATGATATATGGACAAGTGTGGAGACTTTTTGTCTTTGAAAAGAGTGTAGTAAATTTTGAGAGTATGTGGTTTTTCACCACTTCACTTTCAAGAATTTATTCACTGTGACATTTTTTCCCTAACATTTCCCAAAAGGGTGCAGAGCAAAAAAAGCGAACACTATATATTGAGGGTGAAAACCTCACTTTCTGAAAAGCTTTGGACGAGGGAAAAAACTAAAGCTTGGGGTTTGCACCACAATTCACAACTTTTAGGAATGCTACGAATGAAAGAGGGGGGGGGTTTCTCCTCTAAAAGCTCTTGTATGTACATATATATAACCCGCCAACAACTTGCAAATTTCGAGTCCTGAGCGCGCTGTGAGGAAAAAATGCGGAGAAAATTTCACTATGGCGAAAAATGATAAATTTTATCGTGGAGGGAAAATTGTGCAGAGGAGAGCAAAACTGTCAAAGATGAAGAATCATTTCTGAAAATCACTTTATCTTTCGTGTATAAACACGTCGAAGGAGATAAAAAAGAAGCATACAGCATGAGAAGAGAAAGCCCACCCCAAGGCACAATTTAATATATTTACTTCCATTATACGCATCATTTCCGATTAGTTCCATTTCACTCGTTTCTCCTCATAAAAATTCTCCCATTTCCAATTTAGAATAATCCCCCTCGCAACTGGGTGGAAATGGTGAGAAGTTGAAAGTTGATGCTTCTGTTTCCACTTTTTTCTGTGATATTTTCTCGGTGGATTTTTTTTTATTTATCCTCTCCACTCGCTCTTGATTATTCTCCTTGTCAATTGACTAGAATTTACGATGGGGATTAAAAAGTTTATCACATTTTTATTGTGGACTATCAGCCTTCTTATCGTCTCTGCGCTGCATTTTGCGATTCCGTTTGCACTTTATTACTCACTCGCATCGTGGTGATTGTGTGAGGGAATTTTTGCAAATTTTATTGATCGAGTTGTTGGTGTGCAGATGTGATTGCGATTGGGAGTGTTTTCCATCCTGTCAAATTCGATCACTCTGCAAAATCTTCCATGCCTCGGACATTCTTTTTCCTGTTCATCTATACGGGGATGAGTTTTTTAAGCCATTTCCCAACTGTGAATTCACTTTCATCTCCACTGATCCTTTCTTTTGGCCTCTGCCGACATGAAAGGGCAAGGATGAGACGCAAGAAGATTCCTTCCTGGATTTACAATTTACCCAAACTGAGGCCAAGTCTCTTTGACCCTTACCCTCATAAATAAATCCCAATCCATATGATATTTTATTTATGGATGCGAAGATATTCTTTCGCCTTTTGCCATGCTGTAGGATAAATAGAACAATGAGGATGTGTAGAAGTTTGGATTATTGCTCATTTTGCACAGATCATTGAACGAAAGACTTTGCCTCATTTCCTTTTCTTCCTCGGGTGCCTTTCACCCCTTTCTCAGCCCATCTTCTGAGACACACACTTGTAAGTCTTCTCTCTGAGTTCTCTCCAAATATCCTCTCTCTCTCTCTCTATACCTTCACTTGATCCCTGCGATGGAATGAGAAGTGAGTGGGAGGATGAGAAATATGAGACTTTCTAATTCTGCCCTCTGCATACACGATGGGTGGAAAAAGCTGGAAAATATTTTCTCCCCAAGATCACCCTCGGTTGAACAGATTGTTTGCACAGACTCTCAAGACCTTTCGTGTGTGTTCAATGGTGAGAACATTATTAGCCAGGGTTGTGGGTGGGTGTGAAAGAAAGACTCCTAATCCCAAGTGAGGGTAATTTAGTGGTCTTTCTTTGATATGGGGCGGAAGAGAGGGTGAAAACTGAGAGATTGTTGCTCATTTTTCTCGGGTAGGATGGCCACATAAAATGATATTTGATTGCCCAATAATCCAATACAACCCTCTCTCTCTTTCTTCCATTTCAGTGGCTTACCTGAACTTGGGGACGACTCTGATTGCTGTTGGCCGGTGTCAAGAGGCGGCAGCTGTGCTTCGAGAGGGATCTCGCCTCGATGGCAGAGGCTTGCGTGATCGCACGGAGCACGAGAACGCCCGGATTGCCTCTCTGCTGCAGCTGGGCAGACTGTATGCGGATCAGGGGAAGCTGCAGAGAGCACTTGCCGTCTACCGAGAAGCTCTGCACACGCTGCCAGACAGCTTTCCACCCCAGGTAAACACTGCTAACGTCTTATCACACCTCCTCATTTCTTCCCACACAGGAGGGTCTCACGGAGTTGAATGCAAATTCACAGGCCATTGACTTATTACGGCGTCAAATGACTACCTGAATATGGTTAGGATTAATTATGTTTCAATTACTATGTATATACAGAGATAATTGCTAAATCTCTGCTTTTCCTATCGATTTGCGCCCAGTTTAGCCATACAAGAGGCAGCAATGAGATTCTGTGGTGAGATAAATCGGGGAATATATAGAGCAGAATCATTACTTCAGTCCCAAGTGCGAAAGAAAATCTTAAAACTTGCTGAAGCAAAGGGGCAGGAAAGCTCATTGAAGGGTGAAAAATGGCTATGTGAGGTATCAAAAATTACTCATACGTACCTTTTTGCCTCCCTCATGGCGGAAGTGAGGGAATTGTGAAATTATCTGTGAAATTTTCACTCAGAGAATGAGTGGCAAAGTTACACATTATATGTGGCTCTGAAGGTATATAGCCATCAGTGTTTAGAAATAGGGGTTTTATATAAATTTTCAATGAAAAGTTTACTGAGAAACTTTAAACAATGGCACTTTACGTTTTCCTAATTCGTCGCTGCGGCGATATTTTTTCCCATCAAGTTCCATGTCGCTTCCACGGGGTTAGTTTCTCGAGTGCACCCACACCGTCGTCAACAACTAAACCCAAAACAATGAGATTATGTCACGTTCGTGAAAATCTACTTGAAGCAGAAAACTACATGGTGTGGATCACGTTGGGGAGCTTCTCTCTCCTTTGCTATATATAGTCCATTTTCGCCCAGACGATGTTTGCATTATATCATTTGTGATTGCTCAAGTGGCTTCTTCTTTTTCCTCCCCTATTTGCCATTTTCATTAGGCAATATGGGGAAATGTGCGAGAAAAGGCGTTCTTCATATGATTTCTTCAGCCATATCTTGGTAAATTGTGTGTGATTTTCAAGTACGTGATAGAGGTGAAAAAATAAGTGGTAAAGTAAAGAGGGGAGAGATTACAGCTTCAATTTTAATGCCACTTCATCATAGGGTGAAACTGTGATAATGAAAAAGCATAATCCTGGAAATGTATGAGACGGATCTCAATATCATAATTAAAGAGATCATCATATAAAACTGTACTGAACATTTTAATTATTTTTCTACTGTTTTTCTGTTCTCGGGGGATTTTCTAAAATTAATTCACTTTTTCCGGTGAGAATCCTCGACTATGTATTACAGTGTAACTACATTTTAATCGAGGCGTTGGGAAAAAGTGTATTACATGAAAAAAATGCTGGTGGTTTTAAGGGCTCTGCGAGAATCCATTTTCCATAGTGTAAAAAGGAATAATGCGAGTGGTGATGAGAAACATAACCGAAGATTATATTCATTAAGAGTTCAGCATAACCGCTGAAGTACTTATTTCATCATACTTTTAGATCACGTCATTAAAATTGCATACATACTGAATTTCCCTCTATTACACATGGTAACATACCATTAGGAAAGGAATGGCAGGTTGAAAATACACGATAAACTCTCATGTGAGAGATTCCTACCTCATCTTTTCCATCTCATGCATTTAAAGTGACGCATTTAACAGGGTTCGGCATATATTACAAAAATACCGCATATATAAGACAGAGGAGTGTACAGTAAGTTTTCACAGGGATATATTATTACTAAGAGCATATTTGGGAGAATAATAGATTTGAAGAATTAGCATTGTACCAGCAAAATAGGGCGAGAAGAGATTTTGCGGGGGTGGCGAAAAGGTGTAGGGCTCTCAATTGCACAAACACTATTTTCTATGTAAATATTTTTGCTTTATTCCTCCCACACAATCCACTTTCAATATAGTTGAAACTGGGGAAGTGTGAATAAAGGAAATACATGTTTGGAGAAGGAAATTTACTTGGAAAGCTTTCCTATTGGTCTCCCGTTCGATGTGATTTTCAAATGCGGATATTCAGCACTATCTCAATTCCTCCCCAATAGTTACGCAAAAAGATGTGGAGTGAAATGAGAAAATTGCGAAAGCTCCCGATTCAGGATTCACCATCATTTCCTCGCGCCTCATCTCTAAACGCCCACCCGCCCTAAAAGTGTGTGTGTGTGTGTGTTTGTGTGTGTGAAGATAATATGTATAGTTATGTGGCATCATAATCTGGGTGGTGGTGTGCAGGGGTGGCAGGGCTGAAAAAAGGGCGATGAGAAAAGCGAGCAAATAGAGCGAAATTCCATCAGCGCATGCAAATGGAATTTGTGTTTATCAGTTTGGAATCTTTCGTTTTTGTATACCAACTGAGAATGAGTACAAAATGTTTTAGGGGTGCGAGGAATAAAGCAAAAGGGGTCCATTTAGTTCATTTTCGAGGGTTCTCTCACCACTTACTGTTCGGCACTGTGGCTCTGTCGAAAAACACATTTCGTGTTTGGGTGACAAAAAGGCTCTTTCGGAGACAATCATGCTCCCATAGTTTACACTTAGAGTTCCTACACGATCACGCTCTTTGGACTCAAAGCTCCCCGTTCAGATTGGCGAAAATTTGTATATGAAATCGATTTTCATCGCACCGTTTTTTTTGTGCCATCGCTGTTAATTTACCCAAAAGCAAAATTGATGATTGACATTAATTTACATTGAAGTTTCTAACCACACAAAAATGCTTACTTGTGAATTGATTAATGGTGCAATTTTGAGTTTTATGCTTGTTTGTTCTCAACAGAGATCTATTCGAATTATTTGATTGCTTTAGAAAAAGCCAGAAACTTCTCTTTCCATGAAATATTACCGCCACATAAAAGGGAAATATGATAGGCGAACGAGATACCATATAGTATGTAATTCATGTTATAATGCTTTACTTCATAATTTAGAGCTTCAACTCTTTTTCTGACAAGCCTGAACCTTGAGATGCCCTCAACTGAGCACCTCCCTTGCGAGAAAGGGTGAAACGAGGCGTGGGAGGTGAAAGAAAAGCAGTATTGAGATTAATTTTGTGCATGGCTGAGGAAACCTAATAATATATTAATTGCCTCTAATTTCATCCTCATCCACATCACCGCCATTCGTGCGGCGGTAGCTGAAGAAGTGAGTGAAGAAACTTGAGAATTTGCGCCACACAGACACCTCACGAGTTGTGCCTCGGAAACCGCAGAAAACCATCCTCTCGTCTTTGTTGAAAAGTAAAGGGGATTGGGAGTGGGAGTGAAATCAAGACGTGGATGGTGATTTTGAGTTCCCCCTTAGCAAAATGACACCCTTAATACAGTCATGGGTCGCTTATTTATATAATAATTGATCGTTAATTTTAATTGGTTGTGAATTTTAAATGGCATCCACATCCGTTAAGTCACAAGTGAAGATTCAACACTTTTCACGAGGGGGGCACAGAACGCACAAGAAAACCCACAAATTTCACTGCCGCCCCCGCCATTGAAATTTGTGAAAGTAAGTGGAGCCGCGATGGTGGCAAAATTAATAGAGGGCGGATTTTTCAATGGCAGCCGAGGTCTGAGGACTCAATAATTAAGTGGCTGGGTAGTAAATTTGGGAGCTTTTTAGAGACATTGCCGTCTTTGAATGTGCGGCATCAAAATGAGCTGAGGAGAGTGAGTTGAGTGATTAAATTTTAAATGACTCCTGTTTTGTCACATCTGCGGTCTTTCGCCGCAAAATCTCATCATACGCCTGTATTTTCCAGGTGCCCCACCGCACAACTCCACGACACCTAACAAAAGATAGAGCGAGGAAGAGGTTTTTCACTTTGTCTGTCCGCTTTCACCCAATTGTCCCACCTACACAGCTTTACAATGTACTTTTTGTTAATTCAAGCAATACCAATTTTGGTCTCTGCAGAATGGCGGAATTTAATTTAACCGCTCCTCTTTGGAGAGTGCCTTGAGAGATTTTCATTACTCATATCGTTATTTTGTATTTTGCTCCATCGACTTTGTCATTCTCTCACTCGCACCACGTACCATCTCTACATAATTTCACATAATACCCAACATTATTTTACATTTCCCCCAGCATTCCTGGGCGGAGGCATCAGGACTGTATGGTAGCGAATATGAAAATTACAAGGACATTGTGTGCTTCATTATTATTAAGTATATATCTATACGGCGGGAAATAAAAATAATACGACAGAGCGAGAGAGGATAGATAATAATGAATTCCAAATGGAACAATCATACTATGAAAAACATCTCATTCACACAGCTCACTTTCATCCACGATAAATGAACAAGTTATTCATTACATGGACTCAGCGAGGGGTGAAAAAGTGACTTGGGAAATTTTTTTCATCATCATGAAGAAGCTGTGTAAGTTGAGTAAAAGAATTTGATCCATTTCAAAGAATGTCTACAGCCAGAGTGTAAATGCACTTTAGATGGAGTCTTTCAATAGACTTCCGGACGAAACTCTCAAATTGAGTGTGTGGAATTTAAAGTTGGAGATTTTTATACAGACAATTCTTAAACGAGATTTCATGAGGATGCCAAAAAAAAGAGAACATGAAGTTTGCTTATAATCCAGGCAATTCGCATTTTTACAGAGAATGAAAACATTTTCAAGAATTTCCCAAATGGATCTGGTGCTAATTTCAGTGTGAAAGAAACCACGCATTCACTTTTCTATGGCAAGACAAACTTTGGAGAAGTGAAAAAGGAATTTTTTTTTATTAAGATTGATTGTAGACTTCTCCGCAATCAATCATTTCCCGGGGAAATGGATGCTTGAGAAATCATTTAACTTTCAAATATATCACAAAGGCGAGACGTGAAAAAGCCTATCAGGTTATTCTGAGTCTATAATTTGCTAATCAATCTGTTTGGGTGGATCAATTTTCAATTTTCGCTCGTTCTAAAGCCCGGGGACATTAATAATGAATTTAACCACTGTATCCAATTTGTGAAATTGCAAGGGTTGTGTGCAATTTCCCGATTACAACAGGTTAAATTGGGTTTTGGGGGATGTGTCCCAAATTACTATTAACCTGGAAATTCTAGGGCTATATTAAAGTGCCATATTTTTATTATTATAAATTATTTAAATTTAAGCAATTAAATTGAGCTGAAAATGTGAAGATAAACATGAAGTATTTCTATAAAGTTTTCATTATTTGCCTATAAATAGAGTGAGTGACTAAGAATATTTTCTGTTCTGCTTTGCCATGCTCTTTTTCTCACTTTTGCGAATAATTCACGAGTGTCAACAAATCTCATTAAGTGAAAACTGTGAGCGAGAGTGAAGAACTTTCGTGGAATTTAATTTTTCCCACACTAATCTTCCGTAATCAGCTTAATTTCCGTGAAAGAATATTTGATGGTGTTTTGGAGCTTGAGCAGAAAACACCTAATAGAAAATTCTCTTTTTACCAAGAGAGCGTCATTCTCTGCGACAGGGTGAACTATGTGTGTGCGGGGGATGAGAAATGACAAAAAAGCAGTGTCGAGTGGGCAAACAGATGCGTAGAGCCGTTGCCGTTTTTATGGACATGGGAGCTTTTATGGATTTTCTGGGACATTTCACCTGTTTGATGGGCTTTCCGCCTGATGCAAAATATATGGGGGTTCCTTGGATCGGATTTCCACCCAATATTCAGTGCTGTAGAGAGTAGACGAAAAAAAATACGGTCAACTAATCGGAAAATGTGTTTGGTGCTAATTCCAGAGCATTTATCATCGACTGGGTGACACTCTCGGGCAACTCCAGCAGTGGACTGAGGCGGAACGCTTCCATCGTGCTGCCCTCGAAGCTCAACCAGACCATGTGGCTGCACACTTATCATATGGCTCAATGTTGGCGCGCAATGTAAGGATTGAGAGTGGGAGAGGCGCTCTTCCCAAATTATGTGTTATTATTTGATTCAGTGCCAGAAACACCTCATAAATTCCACATGCTCCTCACAAAAGTCTGGCAGTCATTTCCAGCCAAAAGCGAGAAATGTGGAAGAAATCGTGGAATTTTCCTTTTATTGCTAATTTTCTTTTTTTCTCTTTCTCTCTCCCCTCCACAAACCACTCCGCACTGGGCCCAAAACCGCACTCACATTGCAGACAAGTCGAGCTTCCGAGGCGGAACAGTGGTTCAAAAGGGCACTCAAACTTGCACCAACGGACTCCAGTGTCTATCATCATTATGGTAAGCATTAAATCGATATCATCTCAATTATCTCGTGCGCTTCTTCATAACAAAAATAATACGCCTCCCACTCTCTATCTCTGGCTGTGCTAAAAGTTATGAGAAAGTTCAGGCCAATCCTTGATTTACGATGGTGGGAAATTGTTTATGAAAATGCAGCAGGAGGAATTCCTCCACCATATCCAATTGAAAGTAATTGTGAAATCCTCCACTCTCACAAGTTGCATGCCACTTTCCATGCAAATGAGCTGCAAAATGGGAATTTTCTCTTGCATCAATAACACTCTGTCTTCCAGCGGAATTCCTAAACTCAATGTCGCGCCACGAGGAAGCCTGTGATATGCGGATACAGGCAGCGGAATTGTCTCCCAACGACTACACCCTGGTCGTGACAGCAGCGACAGCCTTGCGACTACTCGACCGAAAAATCGAGGCTGAGAAGTGGTATCGACAGGTGAGTTGCTGCCCACGTCACGGTAGAATAATATGTCGCAGCGTCTCTCTTCTGGCGCTACAACTGAATATCATGCACGCGAACAAAGCATTGGCGCTATCATCTTACTTAATACACCTTTATGCTTACTAACAACCGGTTGGCAGAGGAGATTTGAGATTTTCACTGCCTCTCATTATGTCAATCTCGTTATCAAATGTTGTTATCAATTTAATACGGAGAATTATGCCACAACCATGATATTCTGCCTACATTGAAAATGTTTGCGGGAAAGTGGTGCGGAAAATGTAGAGAAATCTTTCACATTGCAGGCTGTGGCGCTGAGACCAGAGGACGCACGCTCCCATACAAATTTGGGTGCGATTCTCCATCTCCTGGGGCGCTCGCAGCAGGCAGCTGCCAGCTACAGGGCGGCTCTGCGCCTTCAGCCAGGAGATCCCACGACTCTGGGCAACTTGGCGAAATTGGGTGTCGTCGAGGTGGCATGAAAATGCGCCCCAACGTATTTTTTCTTCCATAAAAACCACCCAACCCTCAAGCAAACTTCCATGCTGGAACCCCTTTCCGCTCATCCATTCCAGGCACAATTTCTTCAAGCATCTCCACGGATGTCTGCTGGATTTGAGGGTGTTTCCCCTGTACCTATTATACATACAACCTGTAAGTAGCCCCAAGGACAACCCAGTCATAAATGGAGAAAGTGTAATATCAAAATGACCACATTGAACAATAATTCAAAATTACCAAAAAAAAACGATCTCGTCAGAGGAATGAGATGCAATTGAATCTTCCAAGGGAAAAGAAAGAGAAGGAAAAAAACACTGAAGATACGATGGCAGGTGGTGAAAAGTGTAAAAAGAAGGGAGAAATGTACAGAGAAGGAAATCATTTACAATTGCAAATAGGAGATATATTTGTGTATTTTTATATCATTAAATCAACAATAAAAAACATACAATTTAAAAGAAGGAAAATAAAGAAATGTGAATTATGCTTGGAAGAAGGTAAAAAAAAGTTAATTTTTAGAAGAAAAACAAAATTTTCACATAAAAAAAAACAATTCAATATAAAAGAGATATTTAATATATATATATATATACATGCATAATTACAAATCAGTTACTGATGTAAATATAATATGACAAGAAGTGAGAATAAATGAAAGTATTAGCATAGTTAGTATATTAAATAAAGGCTCTATAGATAAATCGTAAGATCGAACACACACAAATCGATATTCTTCCTCTAAGGATATTCAAAATAAGCAGAGCAGGAGAGAAAAGCTGAAATGAAGACTTAAAATCAATTTTAAGGGTAGAGAGACGATGAGAAATGGATAAAATGTAAATTTCAAAATAAAACAATGAGACAAGGAATAAAGCTACTCAATCAGGTGAAATTTTCAAGAAAATGACCTCCACTGTACCTGAAAAGGGATTCATCAACTTCAGCAAAGTTTGCACCGAGTGAAACTCAACAATTTTTTCCTCCTTTTCCCTCCCCACTCACGGTGTCCTTTTGACTTCCCGTTGAGCTGAGAACGAGAAAGTATGGGAATCAAAAAAGTGATTAAATCACATTTTAATTATTTCCGGAGTTGAAGGAACTTGTTCATCTTGTGAAACTCCACACACATTCAATTTGGCCTCTCCTTGTCGATTGCTGGAGGAATTATTAAAGAGTCATCGTGACTTCTTCACCCCCACTCAGTCATGTTCATCCCTCGATATCCAACGCAGGCATACCGTCGGAAAATCCCATCCTTTCCACTCTTCTGAAGGATTTTTAATTAAAACCCTCAGCAGGAAGTGACTTCAGATAGAGAGAAAGGTGAGGACAAAATTGACGATGGATTTGGCTAGATTCGGAATTTGATCTACGACAAGGGGAAAATTCTTGCTCTTCACTTTCCACGCTGCGGTCGTGAATACCGCACTGATTTCTGAAGTCGAATTAGATTAATTATTGTGCATTTTTAATTATTCAGACAGACAGATTGACGTTTCGTGCTTTAATGGAAATTCTAATTGGTGGATTTTCACATATTAAGAGTTCATTTTCATCTGGATTTGATTTAAACGGTAGATGCAGAAATAAAAGCCGTGACTGACGTGTGTGGGAACATTGCGAGAGAATTTCTAGGAACACTCGAAGCAATCGTTGAGAAGAACATTGATGGCAATCCAACGACCTCGGAAATCAACCCCAAAATCTTCCCCCAATCAATCAATTAGCACGTCGAGAGCACGAATTGATCTCCATTCGACCCCAGTCGCCCTCTTATGTGGGTAAAAGCGCACCCTTCGAGCTCCAGCACTTCAACATCAACTGAAAGGGTGACGGGTGAAAAAATCCACAATTATCAGTTCACTTGACGGATGAAAAAGCTCGCTCTCGTGTACAGTTGAATCTTTTGAGTTCTGACTTCTGTAAATGATGTGACTGATTGCCACTTTAGCCACCTCCAGTTGCCTTGTCGCACCACCCCAAATGCACCGAGTACAATTTAATCATTGCACTGCCACCCACCCTTGCCTCCTTCGAGTGCAGGGGCGGCGGGAGTGGGATGTGTGCAATTATGTTGATTGAGGACGTGCACTCGAAGCTGGGTTTGTGCGGTGCAGCGCGTCTCGCTTCCTGGCCCATGTCAAAAAACACTCCAAATGGCGTCAACCTCAACAATTGGGGACTTAATTGGTTGACGCCTGCTCCTGACAGACGTCATGACACGCGTTGGTTCCCCATCTCCATGCCGTGGCCACTCATACACATGTTTATTAAATTAACATTGAGCATGAATTGAGAGTAGGAAAGCGGAAAACAAGGCTCGGGTTCGGCGAGTGAGTACTCCGATGGCCATCACAGATAATTGACATTTTTCAAGTGAGTTGCTGGGGTGGAAATTCATATATATGGCAAAATTGAGAATATGTACTGTTGTGTCGCGGACCTTTTTCATCTCTCAAGTGAGAAGGCGGCGAATGATATATATATATGTGCACACGCCAAACACTGAAATGTATCAACCACTTGTTTGGCAGGGAAGAAAGGAAGATGCGTAACTAGCCTGACTGAAACAACAGACAGCGCCAGAGAATCCTGTGAAATGTGAAATGAGGGGGAGAGAGTGAGTCTTTGTACCCTTTTTCAACAAAGCAGCATCTCGTGTCCTTGCAGACAATAATAGAAGGGTGTCGCACACGAGATGATGTCGAGTAAAAACAAATTGCAATTATATTTTTGCTATATGTTCTTGTTTTTACTTTTCACATCATCATCCCTCACCCGCTCCTCGACAGCGCTAATGTTGATGGCAAGAAAGATTGAGTGAGAGAAGTCGGAAAGATGAGAGATACCATAAAAATAAATTGTTTTGCACTGTGAATGATTTTCTCGTTTTTACACATACACCAAACCCAGCGATATTTCGTCATCTCTCCGCCATACACCCTTTTTTCACTGGCTGTTATACTTTTTATTTTGCCAGCGCAAAACATGAAAATAGTTTCACAGCAAACGAGATGCTCTCTATCTGGAGTGATTCTAACCATCTCGTCTGTGTGGACTGTGTCTCCGCACTCAGACACGCTCCCGCACTTGAAAATATTTTCCTAACCCTTGGATTGGGGGTTGGCGAGTAATGTTGAAATGGTGGAAATTCCATATCTCGCCGGATTTTCGCAGATAGCTATTTAATCATGTGAATTGCCTCTGATTTAATTGGATGTGGCAGATAGAGGCGCAAATAAGCCTGCAAAGTTATGCGATGAAACTGGCGATGGTAATTTTTTGTGTGTGGCGTAAGATAGCAATAAAATGTGAGCGCTGATGGGAGAATATCCCAATCATTCTCAGATTAATACCCTGAGATAGGGCAAATAAATCCCATTTAAGGGCGTCAATTTTATAGATAAACATCTCTTCATTTAATATTTCATGACAATATTCACAAATGAATTTTTCCCCGCATTTCCACCCTGTGGAAAAATTGCCTTTTTCCACCCACACCACGCCAATTTCGCGAGCAATTCCTCAAATTTCCACATGATTCTCTCCGGAGTGTGGAGAAAAAAAAAGTCGTAAGGTGAGGGACTATGGAGAAATTACACAGTATAAATCCAATAAGTATTTCAATTTCACTCCTCTTCTTCATAATTCAATATTTTTCACTTTGATTTATCTTCTCATGTGAGGGTGGAAAAAAAAATATAGAAATGGGAAGAAAGCGTCTTTCCCTAAGCCACTTCCATATCCTACCGAGGGATTTTCCTCTTTGTTCTCCACAGGAATATTCGTCTGAGGTGAAAAACTGGCAAATTGTGTAGCTTTACACGTGCTTACTTATTAATGAACACATCTTACGTATTGGAGTGAAAGATGCACGGATGGGAAGAAGTCATCCAATAGACAATATTCCATATTTTTTCTTCCACACCATTCGCCAATTTTTTTTCCCACTAAGTAATCAATTATTAATGTGTGTCTTATTGCATTTGAAAAATACATGGCATATGAAATATTTTGGGAATTCTCAAGAAGAACTTTCACAGATCGGATTTTTTCTCTGTAGATAAAGCCTCTCAAAGGAATGTGCAAGAAAGAAAAATCTACAAATATCTCATGTGAGATTCACATTGGGTAAAATCAAGAGGAGAAAGCCGCCATCGGGATGGGGATAAAATTCGTAAAACATGATTTCGATGGTGAGGTAGGAAAAAAAAAATAGGGAGAAGTTGGGAGAAAGGTTACATAGGATTTTCCTGGGTGTGATTTATATGGAAAATGTGATGTGTTAGACTTTCATCCCCATATACGCGAAAAGAAGCTGGATTACCGTCCACACACTGAGAGTGGAGATTTTCCATGGGATATTTATAAAACAGTGAAATTAAATTTAATGGAGCGCAGATTTTTTATTCTCCTTGACATGGAATTCGTGCTCTGTTGCCAATTTACAAATAATTCCAGTAATGTGAAATTAAGGGGAGGGTGAGCGCCATTGGCGGAAGATGGGCAAGAAATGTGTAGTGAAAGAATTTTCTTTCGTGTGATATTTTCCACCATTCCACATGTACACGAAAGCAAAGAGCTATAATTTATGTTAATGGTATGTAATTTGATGCCCATCTGGAACAAAACGTTACCAATTAATCAATGCAATGGCTTGGCGCCATTTGTCTCCCCTTTCACCCCGAGCGCCCCACACCAACTCACGCGAACGCCCAACTTTAATTCCGCCATTAGCAATAAATGCTGTGGAGGAGACATGGCGAAGGAGCCCCACAAGGAGAAGGAGAGGAAAAAAAGGAGAACGTGCCGCATCTTTTTCGTCCCTCCCCACGAAATGTGCATCTTTGGAGGAAATGAGGAAACACTAACAGAACCCTTATCCTCTGGGAGAGGAAAAGTCACGAGACATAGACAAATACATAATGTGAAAATAATTCAGAATTATTGCCATCTCATGCCATCATGCCATTGCTGTGGCACCCCTTCTTCGAATAAGCCGAGGGTAAACTTTTCCATTCATGTGTGCTCATTGGAGTGAATGATTTACATGTCAGAGGTGAGGCAGAAAGTCAATGGCAGAGAGAGCTTTTTGAACTGATGAAATCTTCTGCCATTTGATGTGAATCTTTGAGTTCAATCTGACTGTTGGACTGAAAAGGAGGCAAGAAAGCTCCTTCGCGGAGGACGCATGCTGAATTGAAAATATCACAGGTGAGCAATTGTATCCGTCATGAGCAGATGTGTATGTCCAGAATTAGACGAAGTCCTCCATAGTATTGAATATGTAGAAAATTCCCTTGAAAATTCCCCCGCAGCGATGGTTGGGTTGCTGTAAGCAAACATTTCCCACAATTATGCCACAGAAGCAGCGAAGCTGGGTATTATGAAGTGACATTTTGGGTGGCACATTTGTCGAGAAACGAGCCATTGAGTAAGAGACATTCTTATTTATCACAGCCTATCGCCCATTAAAATACTTGAAGCCTCTCTCATTAGACGATATCTTTTTCTAGGCAGTCGCATTCATTACAAACATCCAAAAAACAGAACTAATTAAGTTGCAAAATTCACAATGCGTGCAATGGTTTGTTTCTGTCATGCAGACTGTCTGTCAATAAAATAAAATGAAATTCAGTTGAAAATTACATTGACAACTCATTCGAACATCCATTTAGAGTAATATTCAAATTTTTCTGCATACATAATTCCTCTATTCAGTTGTAGGTGTGTCAGCATGAAAATTCATATTTTTATGACTATGCGGGCCAATAATTGTTTATCAATATGTTGGGGGAAAAAAACAT